GAAGAAAGTGTACATGCAGCTCATTGAAACAATGCGAATCGTGGCAGTGGTTACCGATTTTGGCTCACACTGAACCCCTTCATCTCCGCGGCGTCAGTTTTCCAGACCTCAAGCAAATCATCAGTCCATGGTATCCTCAAACAGACGCGACCCCTGAAATCACGCCATCCACCATGAGAGCGAGCGATTACCCACATCTGAGTCTCGATGAGCAGTGACGAGCAGAATGGGACGCTAAAACCGCCCGTAACAACCATCTTATCGTCAACCTGACGACAGAACCACCTGACATGGAATTGACTCACCAAGGATGCTCGACATTAAACCGGATTCTGACAGAACAATAACGCTGCGGACACATACGCCTTTGGAAGATGAAGCCCAGCCCACAGGTTGACTGCAGCCATGAAGTTCAGGCCATGCAGCACATTATTTCCAAATGCCCGTTGCGAAAGTTCGACTACAGCGTAACTGATGTTCAGAATGTTACGCAGTCGCCATTCATCGGCTTAGCAATTCAACTATAATTCAGTTATTTGCTTTGCACTACAAGAATAAATCACACGAATGAATTAAATTTATATAGTTATCTTGGGGATGGGGCAAGATAAATTTTATTACGGACAGCTAAGAGCATATGTGTACTAAAAGCAGGATTAATATAGAGGCAAGAAAAACCTTATTCTTATCACGTTAATCTGTTTCATAAATCCTGTTCTTATTTTACACGACTGATAAGTTCAGCTGACAGTAAATTAGAGTACCATTGTTCTCGATGTGACATCTGCGTGGAAGATGTGGTTTGTGATGCTTTTAGAGATCTAGATGTAGAGAGTGAGTGGGGTAAGCAAGAATCGCAGTTCTGACAACTGGATTTCGAATTACTTCTTCAACCAAGTGAACACTAGGCTCATTCGCGTTTAGAGTCGCATAATCAATCCACTAACTGCACCAGGCTTCGAATGCACGACAACTTGTTCGATTGAGAAAACAACAGTAAATGGGGCAGCGTATCGTAATATTATGAGTTGTTCTAAACCCTGTCAGAGCACTCATTTTTCGTCTTTCGTCCGTTGTTTAATAATGGCCACTAGCGTTAGAAGAAGGT